GCTCCCCCCCAGCGAGCTCAGCTGTGGGGCCGAGTGGCTGCAAACCTCAAAGGAAACTAATTTTAATTACTCGAGACGGAGGTGGGTGGCAGTTTTTTGGGGGTTTTGCTTTCCTTTTGCAGCTCTCTTCAGGAAGAGAAGTACACCGGGCGCTGCACGGCAGCGGTTTGTGACGTGCAGACATGTCCAGCGCCCCGACCGCAGGCTGGGGACAGCCCCGAGCAGCAGGATTCGACTCATCGGGGACAACTGGGCAGCCCACAGACCCCCCATGCCTCGGGATCAGGGAGCTGGGGAGCGGCGCAGCCCAGCCGGGGGCGCTCCCAGGGGATGTGGGGGGCAGCGGATGCAGAGCCAGGGCTGATCTTCCACCCCAATTCCCACCTTTCCTTGGGACAGCCATGGAGCACGTCGCCCTTCTCCTCCTCGTCTCCCTCTTCTTCCTCTGCCGAGCCCAAGGTAAGCGTGGGGTGGGGGGTGACAGCTGGCTGTGCCATGGGAGCTGCAATGAGTTGTGTCCAGCCTCTGCGCCAGGCATTGGCATGGGGCTGGCAGGTTCCTTGGGAAACTGCTTTTAAAAAGCACACCTGGGCTTGGCGCTTGGCTGTGGGTTGGGTTTTATTTTTCTTCTTCTCGTGCGAACTAGCAAGAAAACGGCTGGTCGCAGGAACAGAGCAGTCTCTGGGGCTGTCGGTTGAGAAAAAAACAACAACCAAACAGCCCACAAACCAAAGCTGAAAGCAAAAGGCTCTTTTTGAGGGTCAGAAAGCCTCAGGGCTATGTGCATCACTTAAACTGGGCCATTTAGAAGGAATTACTGTGAAAAAATGTCAGTTTTTAAAAGAAAAGGTGGGATAGCTAGGAAAAAAGTTCTCTGCTCATGAGGATTTGACTTGCTGTAGGAGGCACAGGGGAGGGCGGTGAGCAAGAGCTTCGTAAAAGTTTCCCCATCTTTGGAAGATGAGGTACCCTTTATATTACCCTGAGATAACAGATGTATATATTGGGAAAAAGATAACCCACCCAGTGCGTAGTTGGGAGTATCTCTTCCTCCCCAGCTGAGGGTAAGTGGAGGATGGGAGAGAAGGAGGAACTGAAAACTGTTTCCCAAACGGCGCTCGGCCACCCCGGGGGGACCCAGGGGAGGGCTGAAGGCTCACGGTGCCGGAGGATTCAAGCCTCAGATCCCCCGGGGTGGACGGAGCGGGGGCTGTGCTGGGTGTGGGACCCCTCCTGCGGTGGCGGTGACCGTGCCCCCTTGCTCAGCCATCTCCTGCAGGCAAAATT